ACTGTCTTGCTCAAAACTGTAGAAAACCATCATGATTATCACAATAATCTCTAGATTTTAATGAAAAAGCACAAAACATCACACAGAAAAAGAACAGTGATCCAATGTCAATTCCTCTTCTTTAACTCTCAGAGTGCAACACGACAGTTTGTTCTAGGCTGACTTGACTCAGGGAATTATACTTTGATTTTATTTATAGACTACTGCAGATGGAAAATCAAAACATCACATATGAACAGGGCATTCAATTCAATCAAACTCAAGGAATAGCACAGTCATTCTTCATCTGATACATTTTCTATCAGTTGATAATGCCCATTCTAGATCAAATAAGCTCAAGATGCTGATAAATGAAAGACAATAAAATAATTATTTCAAGGCAGCATATAACTCAAGAATACAAATACATTCTAAAAAGTCATCAGTTTGATGCTGAAAAGTATATTCTATTTACAGATCACTGCCTCTCTTTTTTTAATTCTTCAATACTGCAAAGCCAGAGTCATACTTCATATGCTCAAAGTCACACTGCTCGCCACGAGTGGCATTTGAACCATTACTATGGCAACAAGTAAATTTGACAGCTACAAGACACATCCTGCTGATACACCATGTAACCAAGCAATCTAATTCTTACTATGTTGAACAACATTGTATCAAATAAGTGTTGTTAAAACCCTCACAAAACTAGTACTCTGAGACAGAGCATGGCAGAAGCAACAAATACTGTCTAAGAATTACCTGGGAAGTGACAGAGAGCAGAATGAACCCCCTCCTAGAATCAATAAGCAGCTGTTGACTGAAGACAATTCCCATCTACTCAAAAAACACAAGCTCTGAAAGCCAAGATCTCTCCTAACTGCAGATGAGTCTTGTGGAACAAATTTTCTATAACTTCAGTTGTGAGAGAAGTGTATCAAAAACATACTAAAATTATTTCTATATAAACAGACCAGGACAACACAAAACCTGATTTTTTATGGGTTTCTGCATCTGAGTTGCACATTAGTAACCTGTCCCTGCAACAAGTAATAAGTCCTTTTGCAACACCCAGACAGAAAAATATGGCTACATATTAAAGAGACTTGACATCCTCTAAAAGCTCTCAAAGCAAAGTCAGCATATTTTACTCTTCCTTTATACATCAGACAGCTTTGTACTGGAAAGAAAACTACTCTCCTCATCAGTACCATCAGTGATCTGGCAAACTTAATCCATGAAAGAGGCCTTCAACTCTTCCAACTACTACTTGCACTGAAATGCAAGGCTAAGCTACATACACACATTTCTCCAAAAGGAAGAATTAGTGGATAGAGTTCCTCATCAGTGCAACTCTTAATAATTGATTAATCTCTTCAGACAAAGACCAACAGCATGAAATAACATTTGAGTGATGCAATTTTGTGATGAAAAGTTCTCAAACACACAGGACAAGAACCACAGAAAAATATGCCTGAACATAACAATGAAAATATTTTAATTTTTTTAACAAAATAGTTTTGTCGAAAACACTCAATACTTCTTCAGTTTCTCAATCTGCCCTCCTTTCCTCTCCCCTCTCAAATGAAATCTTTCCCTTCACTCCAAAAACCTTCTCAAGCTTTCCAGGTTTCATTTCCATTAACTGAAAAATAATTTTGAAAAAAAAACTGTTCAAAAGTTATGACTTGTACAACATCTCAAAAATGGGAAAAGAAATCTCAACCAGATCAAGAGGTGAAGCATCAGAAGGCCAGACTTTGATGCTTGAATTTTCCACAGTTAGGTTTCAAGACTAGTGACCGATAAGCTCATAGAGAATGACGGACTATAAATTTAAATGACTAAGGATGGCATCTCAATTTCATGAGCAGCTTAAAAAAATCCAAGTTAGTAAATTCTCTCAAAAGCACACTACTAAACACCTGCCACTGAAGCAAGGAGAAGGGAGTATTCTGACTCTAAAATTTTAATAAATAAGTAAAGTTGTAAAGAATAATGACTACATGATATTTTTAAAGAAGTTATTATGAAAGAACATACAAGATATAGTTACTAAAATCCACATTAGATAGGACCCAATATTTCTCACATAAAGAAGGAAGCCAACTTCCCTCTTTTATTCTGCCACTGCATGACAGAGAATACAGTACAAGCATTAAAGCATTCTACTTGTGAGTGAAAAGCAGAAAAATTAAACTGCTCTGTTTAGTTGTATCCAACTGAAATAGTTTTTATCTCTACTTCTAAAAATTAACATGTTTAATTCCCACTCAAGTACCCTAGATACTATACTCTTAAACAGAAAAAAAAAAAAAAAAAACCAAGTAAAAGATTTGAAAATGTTTCTTTCACCCTAATCCTGAACAAGAAGTCAAGTTCATAACATAAAATTGTAAACACACACGACCTGTATATTTTGAATTCCTTAAGATAAACCTTATATTTTGGCAATTTTACATGTTTCAATTATTGACCACCAATACTTTAACAATTAGCTCTTCAGACTGATCTGTTAGATCCATTGTACACCTCGCTGCTCTGAGAGATCAGTCAAACAAAGCTCAGGTTTCTTGAGGTGAGAGCATTTTGGCAGAATGAGGAAGGACAGTGGCTGGTCCATGCACCACAACACATCCCTGGGAGACCACAACAAATCCTGGGGTCTTGTACTGAAAAGGCAGCTGTTCCTCCTCCCCTCCAGCCTAACACAAAGGCTTTGTGTAGTGCTTCCCCAGAGAAAAAGAAACAGACAAGGCAAGACACAGAATACACAGAAACTGTCAATCTCCTTTGCAAAGTACCAATTCATTCCCACTAAACAAACAAGCCCTTACTAAAACAGAAAACACAGTAGTATATTAATATACCATACACTGCAACTTCACACACTAAACAAATGCTTAACCTTCTGTACACAAATATCTAGCACTGGCAGAAACTCATCGTTTAGAAGTCTGTTTTAAACAAGGAAAACCCCACTCATATCTCTCATCTGTCATACTCAAAAATCTTCTTGATATAATCAGCCATACCGAGAAAAGCTTCTCTGGAATTTGTGCTGTTAGAAGTATCAGAGCCTGCAGTATGCAGCAGCAGTACAGTGAACACTAAACATAAGTGACGTCACGATATTCCAGTCACTCAATTTGTTCTTCTCTTCTAACCTCATCCTTCCCAAACAGGAAGTTTAAAAAGATGCTGAGCTTCAAGTAAATAATGGTACATCAGGAATATATTAGAGAATAACAAAGTATTTTTTACAGATAATTTGTTCCATCTTCACATTTTTTTTAAACGTATATTGATGCACTGTGTTCAAAATAACTTTTGACAAATGACTACTCATACTATTACAGTCAAACTTTCCTATATATAATTTCATTGACAGGCCAAACAAATGTTAACAAGTATACCTCTGGTTTAACACAGTTAAGAAAGTTCTACTACTTTGTTAAACATAATTCACCCTGTAAAGCAAACAAATCATCATCAAGTAAGCATTCAGGACAATATTAGCACAAAATAAAAATTCTGGGTATCTTTGTATCATGAATTCATACAATTAAGACTTCAAAAAACATGACCAAAATCAAATAAGAGCAGCAAAATAAGTCCTAACCTTTTTTTTGTCTCAGCTAAAATGAACTAACATACCTACAAGCATAGCTAGCATGTGTTTAACAAAGGCATGGCATTAACTATGCAGAATGAATTCTTAAAATCTACTCATTTTTTTCCAGAGCCACAACACGGAAACTAACCACACACTTTAAGGTTAACAAGATACTTAAATAAATAGAGTATGATTTATTTTAAGGCTCTCAACATTCCTGCAATATAGTTTACTAATTCAGAACATTTAAGCTGAAATTACACTGGTTCTACACAGAGTATAACTAAAAGCCAATACAGGCTACTTTAGAACTCATTTTCTATAGCCCTTTCCGGCTTAATTATAAGCGGAAGGTTCTCAAAATGCTGAGGTATACTCCAGGGTCATTCCTTTGTGTCCATCGGCCTCCGCCCCCACGATACTACATCAATATTATCATTAGTGCACTCCCACCCCCACTTACACTGGCAGTTGTTTCCAACTGCTCTGCTCACAGCGGAGGGTACAAACCTCGTAGCAAGCTTTGTCCTCTCATTGCTTTTGCTCTAGAGTGTCAACAGAAGCCTAAGGATGCCGCTGCAGCTCCAGAGATCATCTGTAGACTTGGGAACCAGGTGTTTTCCCACTTTCTCCTTGTAAAGCTAAAAGTACGTGCAATAACGTATTTTTAACGCCGTTCCACACGCAGTTTGTGTTGCCCTGAGCGCCGTGGTGCGCGCACCCGCGGCCTAGCCAGGCGTATCTGTATGCACGGATCGATGCAAGTGCCGCTAATGGCTCCAGCACTCAGAGCGCCAGGCGACAGACAGCCCGCTTCCCATCCAGCCGTGCCCACACAGCAGCCGTCACACGCACGCCACAACCCAGAGCTGGAAATACAGACGCAGCTATTTTAAAACAGAGATCTTTCGCCGTCGGAACACGTAAATTTCTGTACCATTTGCCTTCTTGCAGCAAGTGGGAGGGACAAAAAAAAAAAAAAATCTCGTGCCTATAAATCTGAGTTCTCCGTAGAGGCCGGGGCAGAGGTGACTGCTGCGGGAGCCCGCCAGACCTGCCGACCTTAACTCCACGGAGGGGATCGCCCCGTCCTGCCCCGCTGGAATAAGCCCTTCCCGGGGCGGGCCGTGGCCCCCGGAGCTCCCGCGCCCGGCAAACTCCCTCTCCCACTGGGACAGAAACCGCGACGCGGCTCCCACGCAGCAGCCGCCGGGGCCGGGCCGGCAGCCGCCGGAGCCCGCGGGCCGCGCCCCGCCGAGGCGGCCGGAGCGCCCGCGGGGACGGGGCGCGGATAACGGCGGCGGCCGCGGCGCAGCACCGTGAATCCTCACCTGGAACGGGGCCGAGGCGGCGGCTCCTCGGGGCGGCACGGCGAGTCCCGGCGGCGCCCCCGGCCCCGCAGGGGATGGTGTGCGCGGCTCGGGGCGGGGGCTACAGCGGCGGCCCCCGGCCCAGCCTCCGCCCCATGGCGTGCGGCACGGTCTCTATGGCGACTGCAGAGCCGGGCCGGCCCGCGGGGAGGGGTAACGGCAGCACGCAGGCGGAGGGCGCTCAGCGGGTCACGGGGTGGCTCGTAGCGCTCCCCATGGGGGTTGAGCCCCTCGCCGAGGCCGCCGCCATCCCTGCGGCACTGCCGGCCGGAGCCCGGCCGCGCTCACCCGCGCCGCCGCCTCCGCGCTCGCCCTTCCTCGGCCGCGGCGCCACCGAGCCCGCTGTCCCCGGGGCACCGCCCACATCCCATTTCCGGAGCGGTGATTGGGCAGCTGCCGCGATTCCTCACGGGCGATTGGCTGTCAGCGCGGTCAATCCGGGCGCCGGGGGCGGGCGCACCTGGACGCGGCGCTGTGCAGTGCGGGGTTGGCTGAGCCGGCGAGCGCCGGTCCAGCCGCGGCCGCCTCCGCGCAGCCCCAGGGCCGAGCTGCGGGATGAGCACCGGAGTTCCCGTTCCCCATGAGCTTCCGAGGGGCAGCTCCTGTGCGGGGGTCGGCGCTGGCCCTGGGCGCTCGCCGCCGCAAGGCCGCTGCCGGCGGGAAGCTGGGTTCTGGTTGCGGTGCCGCCTCCGCCTCGGCAGCCGGGCTCGGCCGCGCTGTCCGCACCTGGGCGGGCTGCCCGGGGCCTGACGGGCGCCGGCCGCTGCCCGGCCGCGGGTGGGGCGAGAGGGATGAGGAAGGAGAGGCCGGGGCGGGGCAGGCGGGTGGCCGCGCATCGCCGCCAGGACCTCTGCCCCTTCGGGGGCACAGCAGGGCTGTCACCCTTGGGCTTCGCGCAGTGACTGTAGGAAACGGTGGATGTGATGTGTCCCGTGCCTAGGTGAGTACGGCCTTCGAAGGAAAGGCTTCCCGTTCTCACAGGTGACTCCTCACTGCAGGCGAGACCCTCGAGACTCGTGAGGCCACGGAGCAGGCACTCCTGGTGGGTGCCATCATCGCACTCCAGCCCACAGGACGCGTTCGCAGGCCACAGTGCCAGCCCGGAGGCTGGATCCGCCTGGCAGAGCAGCGCCCAGGACAGGCCTGTGCTGCGGGAAGGAGGAAGTACAGATTTGCTGTGCTCACAGCAGCTTGTGTGAAGTGAGTAAATACACCGTAGTGTTTCTCTCATGGGAAGTTTCCTTAAGCGGGGAAAAAAATAAAAAGTGCCTTTATTTCCCTACTGCCAGCTGGATAAGAAGATAGTGTGAATAATTGAAGCCCATTTTTCATTAATCACAAGGAGATCATAGTTAAAAAGTAAGATTAGGAAAGAGTATCTCCTCCTGCTACTTTATGAAAAGGAAAATTTTAGCTCTGGTAGTTTATAAGTGAGTTACCCCGAAGTGGGAGCTGTGTACCAAACCTAGCAGTGAACCCAAACAGTTGCGAGTTGCTCAGTGTCAGTTTCAGGAAGATGATTCTTCATTGACAAAGTGAATTGCCTCAACCAGTGGGCCACCAGTCATAGTGGTGTGGATAAGCACTGGTGATGAGAGTATATTTCTCTGTATGTAGTGAATGCATATGTGTATTATGTGTCCTAACAATTGAAGCAGATAATAAGAAAGCTGGTGGAGTGAAGAAATGTTCATTTTGTGAATGGAAATGAACCAATGTTGATGGGCATAGGTGGAGAGAGTTGCTTTTTTTATACACAATAGTGCATATATTCCTGGGTTAGGGAGTTATGGGTTTTGCTTACCTTTAAAAGGCACTTACAATTTCTCAGATGGAAAATATTCAACTGGAACTTCATATTCCTTCAAACTTGTCTTAAAGGCATTGCAAAGCTGACAGTTATTCTAGCATAAGCAGCTCTTCTTATGCATCAAACAAATAATGCCTAAAGTAGGCAGTGTTTTTCCTCACAGATGATAACTGAAGGTAGGTAAATACCCTAACCACCTCTTAATTTAAGTAATTAGTTTTGCCAACAAAACTCACTGCATGCTAGATGTAATGAGGAGCTCATGAGTCCATTGTGAAGAGTACTTTATTGTTCCCCAAATAATTGACATGTTGCCTGAGGTGTACAGTTCTTCAGGAGAATTTTCTGATTCAATTAAAGAGAATGGAAAGGCCTTAACAAACTTGTTTATCTGGTTTGTCTGTTTACCTGTTCATCATTTCAGATCCAGAGGGCATAGTTTCTCTCATCACTTTGGAAATTCACAAGTTAATTCATTATCTAATACAATTGACATGCACATAATCATGGGATTCCCATGTACATGGGAATCATGTACACCAAGGTGTACATGTCTTTTTGCATGCTGAAAAGACCAAATAGCCTTTCCTTCATCGTTACTTGAAGTACAGTGAGCTGTAAGTTTCCAAATTACCACATGCTCTTCATAAGCAGAAAAAACCTAGATGGTTCGAATAAAAGTCAAGCAGAGAAAAAAATAAACTAAAACTGTATCTTTTCAAAAGGAAAATCTGTTTCCACTTATGTGAAGGAAGTCCTTAAAGAAAAGATCGAATCTTTTTTAAATCACTGCTCCAGAAATACACCAAGAAGTCCTTCAAGGCTTTCTGTTCTACTATTTTAGGTTCAGAGATGTTGGTAAGTATAACAGATACCAGCGTTTCCTCTGTCAGTGCAGACTTGCAGAATATCTTTACCACACACCAAAAAGAAAAACCCCAAACAACCAAACCCAAAAAACCACCAGCACATTAAAATCTCTACGTAAATATGAATATGAAATTGAGCTACTCTTGAGTTTCTGGTTTTGTTTGTTTGTTCATTTGGTTTGGGTTTGGTTTTTTTTTGAGAGTAGATGTAGTTAAGCTGAGATGTATTCTGTTGATTTCCCTTGGAAAAAGTCACCTCAGCCAAAACTTGTCCTGTGCCCTTTGTTCAGCTCTTACATTGTTAGTTCTAGTTGGCTATATCGATGTAAAAATGTCTCTTTTTGCAGCAGTTAGTCATTAGCTGTGAACCATAGCAAACCTCTCTGTTTTGGAGGTTTTTAAGTATCCCAGGTAGTACAAAATAAATCAGTAAAGCAAACTGTCCTGGTTTCAGATGGAATAGAATTAATTTTCTTTATAGTAACTGGTACAGTGCTGGCTTTAGTATGAGAATGATGTTGGCAACAGGCTGATGTTTTAGTTGGGTTTGAGTTGTTCTCACTCTAAATCAAAGACTTTTCAGCTTCCTGTGCTTTGCCAGTGAGGAGGTGCACAAGAATGGAGGGGATCATGGCCATGACAGCTGACCCAAACTGTTCAAATGGATATTTCACACCACAGAACATCATGCCCAGTATATTAATGGGGAAAGAGTTGGCCATGAGGCATCAATGGCTGCTGGGAGACAGGCTGGGCATCAGTGGGTGGTGAACAATTGTATTGTGCATCTCTTGTTTCTATTGGATTTTACTTCTCTCTCCATTACAATTAGTAGTAGTAGTGTCTAATTGTTAATATCTTTTATATTTTGTTTCAATTATTAAATTGTTTGTATCTCAGCCCATGACATTTGCCTTTTCTATCCACTCTTTTCCTCACTGAGGCAGGGGTGGGCGAGTGAATGAGCAGCTGCTGGGACTTAGTTGCTACCTGGGGTTAAACCACAACACAGTGTGTTGTCTTAGTTCAATCCCAAATGTCTCACTTGGCTGTAGACTGCAAGAAGAAAAGTACTGCATACCAAAACTCTGAAGTTAGTGAGCAGGAGGATTAATTACAGAAATTACTCCAAATCCCAAAAGGCTAGACCAAACTTTATTATAACCACATAGTGGCTATGAAAAGATGTGAACAAAACAATTTAATTGTGCTGGTATATGCATGGCAATGCATATGATTTCTTATTAAAGTTTGACTGTATTAAAAATAATCCCCAGTCATGTGAAGATATTCTTACATCTTAATATGGATGTTTTATATTTAATAATTATAAATATTATGCATAATTATTTCAGATTAATGTAGTACATGTTAAATCATGTAATGTGGCAATAAATAGAATTGGTCTAAATTAAAAAACAGATAGAAACAAGCCAGTAAAGACCAAAGTGACAGCAAACTATTTCTGGGCACAGATAGACATAGCTGTAGCTTTTATTATTTTTTAATTTAAGAAAAGACATAGGTTTAGCTTTTATTATTTTTTAATTTAAAAAAAGAACTGAGGTGAGAAAATAGTCACATATCTAAGGGGGTACCCGCTTCTAATATCTTTTTTGTTTGAAGAAATAGATCAGAATGTCTATAGATGGAACTCAACTCTCTAATGCTTCCAACTTCTGGTTCCCTTGGCTTCATAAGATATAGCAATGGAAAAATAAGTTTGCTTTCCTGGAAATCATCTTTTTTGTGTAGCAAGGGAGATGTGAGAATTTTCATCAATAGTTTTTGTCTGAAAGGAATGATTATTTTTTTTTTTCAAGGAATCTTTAAATATTTAAAGCTGCACCTATGCACAAACATATTTTTGTCTGTGATGGAGAAGGGTGACATGATTAACAATGTGCAAGAACTTCTGAACTCTACTGTTATTTTATTCAAATCAACACGTATGGCATTAGGTGATTCATCCTGCAAAGTCCAGACTCATTGGTTTCAAACACTTCAATTGGAACTTCCTTAACTGGACTTTGGGGTCTTGGCAATACTTATTTATTTTTGTATGAGTCAGAAGTTCTGAATAACATTTCTTCTTAGTTGACTACAGAAGACGAAGCTCCACAAACATTTTTGGAGAGTCAGATGTCAGGAAAAAGAAGAGAGATAAAAAAAAAAAAAAAAAAAAAGGAGGATACGAATAGAGGGATGACCAGACCTTAGAGATGGAAAATTCACAGGTTTGCTTAGTCAGTAAGTTAACATACACCAACTCCTAGAATTGAAAAACTGTTGAAAATTTTAACTAAAAATAATATATAGATGGAGGTAGAAACAATGCTTTCACTGAAGAGTAGAAAGGTAAAAACATTTCATAAGCTCACATTTCTGGCGAAAGTCAAGGATCAAAAGAAGTATCAGCCAAAGATGAGAAAGCTCTTACCAAGTTTTGTAGATGTTTAAATAGGTATCTAATTAATAGCAAATGACAAATCACAGACCTTGAGACATTTAGTTCAGCTCCTTTTCCAACTGTCCCTACAACACTCCTGGCAAGTGGTCACCAACATGTTGTAAAAGTACTTTGTTGATGGAAATCAAGGAGTTTCTTATGGGCTGTTTTGCTATTCTCACTGAAACAATTATTTCATCCATTATTCTTCTCATGTCCTATCTCCAAAGTAATTTATTTCTTTCCTCTGTGCAACTACCAGTAAAATTATTTGAACACCATTTTCATCTCTCACCACTAGTCTTCTCTACAGTAAGGCACCTGAATTTCCTTCAGTCTTTTTCCACAAATTGTGATTTCTCGACACAGTGTCAGTAAGCATGAAGTCACCACTCAGGCAACAGAGGGATCTTGGAAAAGCTCTAAGAGCCCTGCGTCTGGCTTCTGTCTATTTGACAGCTTCAGAAACTCCCACAAGTATCTTTTTCTTTCTTTTTTTTCCCCTTGGTAACTGTCTTTTCTTTCCAAAAGAATCTCAAATTCCCTACAATATGACCTGAGTCATATTGTTCAGTTCAAATGATGTCTGGACTGTGAAAAATAGCATCAACATCAAGTTTATAGTAAGCTGAGAATAGGTTCTGATTAATTTAGGAGGTCTTTTGAGAAGAAATGTGACAGTGTATATCTGCCTAATTTGCTAGGAGAAGAAGAGTCAGTTGGTAGTATAGTGCACCAAAGTATTGATGCTATGAGATCTGGAATTTAAAAAGGAAAATTTTACCTCATTATGTAAAGAGAATTCTGCTGCCAGGCCTCATATTATAAGTATAATTTCATTCTGCAAAAAGCTTCCTGATACCTGGCTTGTGAGGATAAGATCCTTAGTGAATAAGGTACAAAAGTGAAAAGCAAAGATTGCTGCATGGTCTCATTATGATTAAGTTGTAAAAATGGATTCTAGTCTTCAGAAAGAAGTTACAGCCAAGATGGAAGTTTTAGGCTACCAGGCAATATAAAATACATGTCACTTCCAGCTGTAATATAGACTGCTGGTCTCATTTGAAGGTGAATACACTATTTCTGTGCCTTAAGTTTTCCATTTGTAATGACTCACTGTGAGTCACGAGTGGATGACTCAGAGATTGTGGACAGTACAGCTCCTATGGATTGAAATCAGAGCCAGCCTGAAAGGTACTGATACGGATTTTCCTGCAATGCACAGGACCCTGAACGACAAGCCGTACACATGCAGTGCAGTTCATGCAGGTCTGCTATAATTTCCTTTTCTGCCTGAGACTGATTTTCAGCATCCATATTGTTAAAATCATTACACACCTGAAAAATGTAGTACTTCTTTTTTGGATTTGTTTCATCTGTGGTGTTCTTCAGGCAATTATATGAGCTACAGTTGTAATATTCACATTTTTCACAGAACATAGTACAGCAGATCTTCTGGTACAACTGTACTACACTGTAGAGCTGTTGTTGTAAAAAAACATAACTGACTTCATTTTCAGTAAGCTTTGTGTCATTTTAATGTACGAACTGGGTTCTTTTAAATTATTGACTATTGCCATTACCTCTTGCCTTTAAATTTTGACATTCCCTCTGCCAGCTCTGCAATTCCATAAGAACTTCAGATGTTGTGACTTAACTTAGGTATCTTTATCTACTACAACAACCATAATAATCTAAATACCACTATAATTCATTCCTAAAAGTTAAAAAATGTAATTGAGGAATTAATGTTCTACAAAGACTCAATTACTTCTATTTGTTTAATAACTTAATTCTCTAAGTGTCTACCATGTGGTTCACAATTTTATAAAAGCCAAAAAGAGCAAATTGTTATTCATGTCCTCTCCCCATTATCACATATCGGTGAGAATCTCTTCCTGAATATGGACTTGCCCCAGCTCAGAAAGAAAGCTTGTATAGCTCTTGCTTCCGTCAGACTCACCAAGTGTCTCCAGTTTTAGTCCAGTATTCCAAAATCTCATATCATTAGTTGTCACATACATTAAATACAAGGTGAAATTAAAACCCATCCAAATATAAAAATAAAATATTAAATTTTGGAAACTAGATGTAAAATTAAATGTTGCATCATCCCAACTAGTTATTTCATTACACTGATTCATAACACATCCTTGCCTGGGGACTTATATATGAATGATAATAAACAGGTAAGTAATTGTGCAAACATTTGTTAAATTTACCTGTTTGGATCCTAAGCCATAGCGCAGCAATCTCCCCTGTTAGCGGGAAAGTGTGTCATCTCTTTCTATACCACTGGGTGACAGATGCAATCCTCCACGTACAATCACTCCTACAAGTTACAAAATGCTATTCTGTGGTCATGATGTCCAGGTGTCCCAAAGGTCTGCAAGAAAGTGCATCATGGTTAATTATAAACTGCTATGACACAGAACTAATTTCTGAATTGTCTCTGTCGAGGCAGGATGGGAATTAGAAGACTCTGACTCAGAAGGCTGCTGAGAGTAAAACACCAATTTATTCAAAATACACTGCTCTTTTATACAGAGCTTCGCAAAGACCAAATCCATTGGTTCTGAAGTGAAAACAAGCCACAGCATTGGTGCAGAGTGCTTGACACACAGTGATAGAACTTAACTATCAGCAATGTGAAAAACAAGAGAGATAAATAATTATTTACATTCTCTCCAGCTCTTCCTCAGGCTAGAAACTCTCAGTTTCTTTCTTTGACTGAATCTGAGTCCCACACTGAATAATTAAACTTTTGATACATTTGCAGCTGAAATCATTTCCAAATATTAGATGGAACAGAAAATACAGGTAGCACTGGCCTCTAACTGCATTTAAGTAATTTCTTACAATGGGGCATTCTTGAGCTTCCATAAGATGTGTGAATAACCTCTAATCTCTAATACAAACTGGGGAAAAAAAAATGCCTCTTGCTCTGTATTGTTGAAAAAGCCTTCATACAGCAGCACTGCCATCTCCTGCTTGCTTGCTTCTATGCACGCCAGTACGAGGTTTGTGTTGCAAAGCAGCCGTAGGGAAGGTGCAGTTTTCTGCTACTAGGTAACGGAGGCAGTAACATTTTCTAACACTCGGGGATAACACGTTTGTAGTTCTGCAGGTAGGTGGAATTTTCACAAGTGAACTTTTTTTTTAGCACAGAAAACTACTACAGCCATTTGTCCAGAATTTCTGATATATCATATGCCAGCCGAACAATAGCTCAAAATGTCTACATTTGTGTACTTGTGCCGTGCCTAAGGAATACATTTTGTACCTGTTGAATGTGTTTCCGTGGAGTTGATCTGTACACAAACCAACACATTTGAACAGATCTAAAATATCCCCTGTGGTCTGCACGAGTTCTGCAAGTCCAAAGCATGAATGACTTGTGCACAGGATTAATTCAATGCAATTGGGGTGTATTTGATCATATGTGTATGTATTTGAGCATTTGTGTGGTCCGTGTGCATTAGGTCCAATGGGTCCCAGATGTATCACATATGCTCTGAATCCTTAGGACACAGGCAAGATAGAGGCAGTGTATTGCCAGAACACAGAGTTAGAATCACAGTCATATCAGGGTACTGGCTTATTACTTATCATAAGCCAGGAGAGGACAGTTTATGCTTCTGAGAATATTTCTACACATTTACAATGCCTGGTGCAGAGTCTCTTGCAGTCAGTCATGTGCCCACTGAACTCTCTCTGCTGTGCTAAGGTGTTACAGATATGGACCCTATAGCTCAAACCTAGTCCTGCTTAGGGATTCGGTTCTGGTATTGACATCACCTCTAACAGACTCAGCTTGTTGCCACCACTGTTGCCAGTTCAAACCAGCCACATCTGTCCCACAAATTGCTACGTACTGAGCTCAGAAAAGCCAGAGGACATGATACTTTTGCTTTTGCTTCTGGCTTGGAATAGAGCTAGATAAGAGACTAGGACAGAGGTTTCTACTGGATTGTTCTTGAACCTGGAAAGCTTCCCAAACCAGAGCCTACCGTGAATCATACAGGATGATCCAATTGCTCTTGGTTACTTGAATTATTTTCTAGGACAATCACATTCAATACACAGAGAACAGAAAATTGCATACAAAGCAAAAAATATGGAATGGTGGGTAAGGAACATAATAGTGCATATAAATTATAGTTGCCTAAGATAGATTATCCCTTTGCACAGAATCACACACTTTCATTATTCTTATTCTTCCTTGCTTTGGAGGCATGTTTATTGTCAAAAACAAGTTAAGAGCTACTGAAGACATTAGCAGGTACTGAAAAACAATTCTGTTTCTTATTAGCCCAAATGTCCAGCTGGGTAAAAAGGTAGGAGAAAGTCCTATAAACCATTTTGTTGGTGAGATCTCAGTTCACACTCAGTTAATTGGCCTGTTTTGCAGGATTTAATCTGGTGGCATAAGAATCCTGAAATAAATCTCTTAGCTACGATTAGAGATGAAGGAGAGATTAGCACAGACAGGAGAGTTGGTTTTCTCCATTGGTGAGTCAGTGTGAAAACAGAACAAGTACAGAGACCTCAGGAAATCAGTATTTCAGTCATCCTCAGGATGTCCAATTCAGGTATTTTCTCCCTTGTATTCAGCAAGTTACCAGTTTCAAGATCCTGTTCAGTCCTCTGAAGCAGGTTAGTGGTTTCTTTTATAATGTCACAAATAGCAATGTTTGTTTAGCTAAAATAGCTAAACAATGTATGTTTAGCTAAAATAGCAGATTTTAGCAAAATCAGTAAGACAAGATGTGGCTTGTTTGTGACAAAATTGCAAAATTTCTTTGAGAAACTTGTATCTAATAAGTAAATATTAAAAATTGCTTTGCTACATCTTGTTCACTATAGTTGATAGCAAAGGAACAGCTACGTGACATCTTGGAAGCAAATTGTATGATGATGGAAGCTGTCTTTAAAGTTAGATAAATTTGAATTAGACAAAGAAAGCTTGAGAACAGTATTGATAGTATGGGAGAGATTTCCATACTTATTTGTGTTCTTTTCTTGAAAGAAGTATTTCTCCCTTTATAGAATAAAATCCAGTTTGCTGTCCCATAGCTGGGGAAAGTATGTCTGTGTGTATATGATTCATAACTCTGGAGTGGCTCAAGTGCAAATGTTTCTAAGAACTACGACAGGCATTAGTACCACTGAAATGCTGGGAGCATTTGTGGCTTTACAGTAACCCACTGCCAACTATGACTTGGAGAAGAACAGAGACATGTTTCAGAGCAAGACTGACAGTTTAAGATTACAATTGCAGTCCAGTTCTTTCAGCTGGAAAAACTTTCTTCATGGTGCTCAAAAAATTATACTACACAGCTGTGCATGTGTTGCAATAGATCTTACACTAATAAATCTATTGAATACTTTATTAAACAGTTAGGGAAAGAATAACGTTATGATGCATTTATAAAATTCTTTATGATGTGAAGAGAGTCTTCTCATCAGAAATAAATTTAGTAAACTGTTAGCATAGGTGAAAATCTTAACATAAGTATCCATGTAGAAGGCTAGAAAAAAAGGAACAGAACAGCTAACTTGTTCTTCTGTCCCAGACTCAATGCATTCAAGGTTTCTTGAGAAGCACAGTATCTCCCAAAGATCAATCCCAAGTATATCAGTGATAGCCAGGGTCCATCAACAAGTGGTCTTTGAACTACAACAACCAGTCATTCCATCCCTTTTCTCTGGAACTAGGACTCCATGAAATCACAGATCTTATGCTGCTGCTGTGGGTAGCACTTTAAGATAAATAATTAAGATCAATATTCCATGAAATCTGATCCTACAAAAATATAAAAATTCACAAAGGAAGCTAAGAATACCTCATGAGAATTTCTGGAGACAAGGAATTATTAGGAGAATGTTTCTTGCATTCAAGTTTTTAACATTTTTTAAACTTCAGGCCTCTGAAAATTTGGGATGGAATAGCTACGTGAGATTGAATGTATCTGTGCTTATGGAACTCAACTTCAAATTTCTTTACAGCTAGAATATGACCAAGTCTTAAATCTACATCTTAAAAAATCAACAATGCTGCTGGAGTAGATTAATTTTGAGTAGAACTATTTACAACTTTTGTTCAAATGTTAAAACTAAATATGTTTAGCAAGTAGGGTGTTTTCAGTGACACTGTAACTAAACGTGTGCTGAACAATTTTGAGGCATTGTTCAAATATGTACATGTGTTTCACAGAAACAAACAGTGAGTGATGCATTCATGTGTGCTGGCCATTAAACATGAACTGTCTATCAGCAATCAATAAATTTCACAACAGATTCTTGCTGTTGTGAGCTCTGAGGCCTGAGTATCAGGGGCAAATGAATCTATTAGCAGCCATCATTTACAGTTATTTAAGGTCAAGTCACAAACTGCTTAACTGGTGAAGCAATCAAAGGTACTGTCTCCAGGCTTAGCAGGCTTATTCAGGCTGTCAGCTGAATTCATAGGGAGGCTTAATTCTGTACCACCAGAGCATGATCCCTTCAAATGAGATCTGAACAATACTCGAGAAGAATGGTGTGAAGCAAGTGTTGTAATTTTATAAATGACTATTCTCTGGACATCTCTCTAAGATGTCTATAATTTATATGAGTATCACAATATGATCACAATCAATATTCAGCCATAACTAATAATCAACCTTAACAATCATTACAATTAGGACCCTGTTTTGAAATTCAGAAAGCTGCTGGCCTCAACACCTTTGGAAATAGACTGGTAAGGAAAAATACTGTGCATTTTCCACACTATTCTCTGTATTGTTCAAAAGATACACAGAGCTTAATAGCTTTGAGATGAATTCGTTTTCTCTGTAAATGCAGGAGTAAATAAAAGCAACTTGAATTGATTACATCTCATAGCCTTAAAATCTTAGTGTATGAAGATATTTAACCATATCCTAACATGAATCACACAACCTATTCCTTGCCTGTACAAGCTTGCCTGATTCCTTCCGACGTAAACACATGAAGACACTGGGATTCCATTACCTTTTTAAACTGCACTCTGCAACAATCTGCTTAGCCAAAGCTAAGCTTCACTGCAGCTGGGGATCCTTTAGTGGGTCAGTGTAGCCCTACTTCTAACCAGCTTGTCTGTCCCCAGGTGTATCTGCTGTTTTAGCGGATACAAGTTTTACTCAGTAATAACATCCACTAACTTAGAAAATATTATGCTGCTTATAGATCTCTATTTTACCAGATTTACAGGATTACATTTTACTGTTCATAAATGCCATTGTATTAGTGGAATTAAATTACTATATAATTATATAATGCTAAGTTTTATAGTACAAATTCACTCTAATGAGAGTTGTAAATCAGGAACAAGACAAGTAAGTTTTCTGGAGAGGAAAGAAAAAAAGGCGGCTGTATATATGTTTGTTTATTTAACTTTTGAACACAAACCTGACCATAACACAGGAAACTAATAATAATAAATACCTATAATTGTTAAAAAAATATAGGCAACAAATAGAAGGGAAAGACACTGGGAGTCTTCTGAGGGGAAAGACAGCAGACCAGTTCACTTTTAGATATCATGTCTGCACAGAAAATTGGTCTTGACGAAAATTCATAAGAATCTAGAGTCTCTGTTCATACTATTCACTAATTTTTAATTTTAAATCCTTAGAATTTTTTTAAAGTGATTGACATTGTTATGACATTTAAGCAATAAATTTCACTGGGGTAGTCCCTTGGCAGGACTCAGAGTGCGTGAGGCTGTACAGGAAGTTCTTTTGTAGGCTCTATAAATATCTGGTCAAACAGACAGTAATCTCTCTCCCTCTTCTTCAGATTTCTGCACGCCTTGGATCCATGCTCCTAATCAGCTTATGAGCTTCCCTTGACCTACGCTTCTTTTCCTAATGCATGTCTGACTATGGCTGTCCTCAAAGTCAAATTCACCAAAACCAAGCGGGACAAATTGGCTCAGATCTTATGGATCCTCAACTGGGTTTCTGTAGTGAGTGGGATCATTCTCTTCAGTCTTGGCCTCTTTCTGAAAATAGAGATCAAGAAGCGCAATGAAGTGATGGCAAAAGGGGACATTAACTCTGTCCCCAACATGCTGATCTCTGTAGGGGTCATAGCATGTATCATCAACTTTCTGGGTGGCAAAATTTGCTATGACTGCTCAGATGCAAACAAGTTCTCTCGCTGGAAACTAGTAATGCTGCCATACATCGTATGTACCTTCTGTTTTACCTTCTGTATCCTGGTGGGTGCTCTCATGTGCTATACCATGAGGAACGAGCTGGAAGAGTCTCTCTATCTGGGCCTGAGGGATGCCATTAAGTTCTATAAAGACACAGACATACCTGGGCGATGTTTCTTAAAGAAAACAGTGGATTTGTTACAAATTGGATTCCGTTGCTGTGGAAACAATGGCTTTAGAGACTGGTTTGAAATTCAGTGGGTATCTCCTCGGTATCTGAATATGGCTTCCAAGGAGGTTCTGGAGTAAGTATTTATCAGTCATAACAAAAAATTCCAGGAGAAAAACTCTTTTGAGACTGGAAAGCCCTTTTTTCTGGACCTTTGTATCTTAATTAAAAAACATAGAATGACCAGGTTACTCACAAAACATGCTAAGTACATGTACAATCAAAAGTAGCCTTTTGCTAAGTCTTTAGGGATGCTAAGCAAAGCAGATATATTTCCTTTTTCAGTGTGGTGAATTAGCTACCTCAAAATTTTAATTTCATTTATAGTGAGCTGATAAGAGTAACAAAAAAAGGATTATACTATCAGTACATTGCACAGTCCATTCTAAGCACTGAAAAGACCCCTCTTCTTCAAGGTATTAGACTTTGCAATCCCAAGTTCGAATCTGTATGTTCACATGCGAGAAACTGCCAAACACCACATACAAAAAAGCAGAAATTCCTCATTTCTTTCTAGTGGTCGTTCTTCACATGATGTAGAAACTGTGAAAATATATGCTCAAAAAGAAGAGTGGTAATACTTACAGAGAAGGTAAAAATTAAAAACTACCAAAAGTAGACAATCCAGTCTGTAATAATTCTTCTAAAGCTGAAAAAGGTCTCCACTGACAAGAGAGTAGTAGCTTTGTATTCCCAGGAAAGACAAACGGAAAGAGCTTGATTGGCATTTGTCAAATGCTGCATTTTGTTGAACTCAAAAATCAGTAACAATAATGCCAGAGAAACGGAGGCCAAAGGTCTTATTTTTACAGAATTCACAATTTGAAATTGCCAGCATAGCAAAGCATATATACAGAACTGCAAATATACCAGAGGACAGGACCTAAGAGGATACAAACGAGGGCGTCAGCATACAGAAGACACTTGTCTGTGGAAATAAAGCAATACAAGCATTCTCAAGAAAGATGTTAGGAAGTGTCACAGAGAGCAGACTGACCAGAGCTGTTTCAAGTCTTGGGTCTATGCTGAAAAGTGACAAGACAAGATGATCCCCAGGAATTTAAGAGTAGTAGCTTAGTGTGAGGTCAAAAGTAAAATATACTTCCTTTTATTTCTGTGAGAGAAGCAGAAGCAGTAATGTTTTACCCAGGGTCTTAATTAAGCTGTGTTTTCTTCTGCAGGCTCACCTGTGCTCTGCCATTGTTTTGAGAATGCACTGTCAATTAACTTTTGCACCATTTCGGCAGAAGGTGACAGTGAAATGTGTGTGAGGAAAGTAATTTCTGGATTTCTTTTGTTGTGGATAGCTTGCCTAATTTTATCTTGATTGGCAGAATCCAAGTTGATGCTGTATAACAAAATTATACCATGACTTTCAAAAATCTGGTAGCGAAACATTTGATATGAAATCATTGGAAGTAAAGCCCAGATGGTAATAATCTGAAAGGATGGAGAAGGAATCAAATCTTTCTTGGTTTCAACTTGTACTCTGTGTCAGTTAGTAGTTTGTAGATCAAGAGGCAAAGCAGGTGAGACCTGATATACTGTGAACTCACATGTAACCTTTGCAAAATTGAACTTTTCATCTTCCTGCAAAACCCTCTTCTACAACTCTATTACCAACACCACAATTTGACAAGGCATGAAAACAGTCAGTAGGAATGGTAGGAGCATGATGTTACAGCAGCAAAAAGCTACCATTGATTTGGTTGTGTAAAAATCACCTTTGCTCAAAAGCAAATTTTTGCTTTACAATACCGTAACAACTTCGAATTGCAACAGTAAATAGCAGTGAATGTCTTGCTCCACCAACTATTTTACTAAGGTTTTCCTGTCTAACAGTACCAATACACTATTAAGTACCAAGATACAAAATAAATAGCAGAGGAAACACAGTGGCAGAATTATATAACCCAAGTCTGGAAACTGCTACTATTGGCAGTAGAAAGAGGATTCCTCTTTATAACATGCCTGGAACAAAAGAAAGTATTTAAATTTATGCTTGGCATCAAAAGAAAAGCTTAAGACCCAGTTTAAGAAGTTGTACTTCAACCATCTTAAATGCTGTACTATATTGGGGTCATTAAATATATAATACCCTGAAATATACAGAGTATTTTGACACCCCAGGTAAGAACTTCCCTTTCACAATGTGCCAGTCTTCCTCTCCTCTGTGAACTTTCTTTTCTTCTCCCATATTGGAGCCCTCTGGTTTCCTTCCCTTCCAGTGTTTGGTTTTGCCTATACCCACAACATGGCTCACACACTTCAGTCTACTTTCAGTGGATTATTTGGACTCTTTTGCATTGATTCTAATCTGTTGCCATCACCGGGTATATGATGGCCACAAAATGAAAAGCTAGACTTGAAAATGGAGAAAAATTCCTGCCTATCCCATTCCTAAGTGGGAACTGGCAGGTGAACTTCCTGGTTTACCTAGAAAGATCTTTGAGGAAAATGTTTTCGAGATAATTTTAAGTTTAAAAAAAAAAAAAAAAAAGAAAAAAAAAAAAAAGAAACAAACCTCGATTACAACCTAAATTAAAAAGAGAGAAAGAAAAGAACAAGAAACAAAAAAAAGGAGGTTGTATTTAGTAGGCTCACAGCAATAAAATAAAAGCAAATTTTCTGCCATCACAGCACTGACACAAATACTGAGCTTCCTAGCAGCTTATGTTTGATTTGAAGGTTACATTTATTAATTTGATGGTCCCAAATTCCAGATGAAGACCGGACCACAGTGTTTCTGCTCCTTCTGTTTACCTGATGAATTTCTAGTAATTATTTCCTTCCCTCCCATTTAGATCAGCTTTAGTAGAACAGAAAAATATTATTTGCAAACATTATTAAATGAATAAGTTTTGGAAAGTAATAGAAAATTTACTATTGACAAATAGTGAAAGCTGTATATCTAAGTGAAAATTGTTTTTCATGTATTCTGGCCCCCTTACAAAGGGTAAATGGCCTGGGCTTGATAAACTAGAACATGGTTCTCACACCCTTGGGGCTGTCTCAGGAAATCAGCTTTTTCCAACGAGCATGAAAATAGATACATGCTTAGATGCTACTTCCTCAAGGTGTGAGAGTGTCTCTCAGCATCTTAGATACTGTCCAGTTTCTGGAAAATCTCTTTCTCTGAAAAAACCAGATGCCAAGGCTTCCAGAAAATCTTGGTTAATTTGAGACTGTGTTCTCTTCCCATCCTATAATTTCTTTTCTTATTCCTCTTTCACCACTTGTATTCCTCCTGATCTTATAGAGGAGAGAAAGGACTATTTTTAGCAATAAATACATTTCTTAAAGTTACAGAAAGCAAAATTACAAGAAGTAGAAAATCCTTTGTGCATTAGTCTCAAAACATGTTCTGGACCAGTCTTGGTATAGTGCCAAAAGGCCAGCAGATGATTTCCAGTGGTTCCAGTGGCATACAAAGCTGTTCTTGTATTAGGATCTCTCTCATGGAATGATTAGATTGAAAAATCAATCCAGAAGTAGCAAAACATAGGATTTCCAGGGATACAACTTCCATTAGAATTCCACCAAGATAAACAAGTCCAAAACTTGTCCTTAGTATTCAGCACAAAGATACCTACAAAGGAAACATCTCCCTGAACACTGAACTCGTGTCTTATGGCACAAATGAAGAACCACATGAGGTTCTACCACACTTAAATACAGCAAATCCAATATTCAGTGTTCCTGCAGTAAACAACTTTTCCTGTTGAAAGTATATCTTCATTTTCAATGTTACGTTGGAGAGGCCAACATTGCAGCAGAGTTGTGTTACTCCCTTTCCTAAAACCACAGGCACTGCCTGCTGCTGACACCAGGTTTGTAATGCCCAGATTTTGTCCTGTTGCAGCCGTCTGAAGAGCAACGTTGATGGGAAGTTCTTGGTGGATGGAGTCCCCTTCAGCTGCTGCAACCCCAGCTCCCCACGGCCCTGCATCCAGTACCAGCTGACAAACAACAGTGCTCACTACAACTACGATTTCCTCACCGAGGAGCTCAACATCTGGATGAAGGGGTGCAGAGAGGCTCTGCTGGATTACTACACCGGAATCATGAGATCCATTGGCATCGCAGCATTGCTTATCTGGTTGTTTGAGGTAAGTCTCTCAAAAATGGTCTCTATCAGATTAATCAGTCTTCTCTCTTTGGATGGAAAACTATGAAGGTGTAACACATGAGAAGTGCCTCAGCATTCAGTGTAAGGTCCACAAGCACTTCAGGAATGTTGTAGGATTTTTTTGTAAAGACAACTTTTCTAAAGTCCACAGAGCAGAAGGAAATCTTGTTGAGGATGAGCACTATCAGAAACCATGTATATAATTTATAGAGCTTTTTCAACAGAATATAGCATATTCCCTTCCTTGATGCATTTATGGGATCAGATACAAGATGACACATGCAGTGACACAATGACAAGAAAATTTGATGAGACGGTCTGAGTGTTGTTTTAAGAAATATATAAAATATGAGTAGGTCTTTGGCTCAATGCATTCATTTTGTTTATAATTAAAATTGAGCATTTTATTAATATCTCAAAGCCTCATTTTTATATTACATAGTTTCACCATATAGACAGTACTTGCAGCCATGGCATATCATCCTTTTCAAAGCAGAATGGGCTGCTGGTTATGCAATCAAAATAAGTACATCACAGGCAAGCTACATGCCTGCAAAGCTGCAGTGTTCCTGCTGACATCTGTAAAGAAGAGCCCTCTGGATGTTGTCATCTGCAAGTAAAGGACTCCCCAATGGCACAGGCTCCAATACAGTTTTCTTACCTTTTCAGTATGTTTTATTTTTCTGACTATTGCTCTATTTATTACATAAATATTAACACTGTAATTTAAGTAGTTCTCAACAGTCCTCAGGCAGTTCTAGAAGGGGCTGTGGTGCCAGAAATAACCTGAAGCATGTGAAAAGCTGTGAGGCAGCTCTCTGTGTTAACTTTAATATTGACCAGAAGATCTTGATTCCAACACAACAATGAAAGCGGGGCTTTTTCCTAAGCTTAGACCTGAGCCTCTGCTATAGGCCATTCTTCTTAATTTTCATGCCTTGGCAATGTTTGACACATATGGCTTACACAGGAATGATTAAATCATCTTGGAAGAAATACTGAATTAATCAATGTCAGTGGAAAAAAAATCCATTGAAATTAACATACTACGATTTTTTCTTTCACAGTGACTGATGGTTCCATTAATTGATCATCCATTCTACATCAATTAGTTACAGTCTCTGATGCTACAAGGTTCACAAGTAATTCTAGGTATATTTTCTAGGTATTTACATACTAATAACATGCAAGGGGGATTGTTACCTGAAGAATGAAGGGAGAATCAATCCATCTCTCCCTGCTACTTTTCTTTAAAAACAAAATTAACTGGAAAAGTGGTTAGACATTCTGCTAGGAGAAAGAGTCTGTCTGCTTTACACAGTCATAAGGCCTGTAAATACACAATGAAAACTGACAGAGTGATAGAACTGAGGCTCCAATTTCAACTGTTTAACCATTAACTGTTTCTTACAGCTCTCTGTACTGATTGGTGTCCGGTACCTACAAACAGCCATGAAGAATGTCCTTCTACTAGGAGATCTGGAGGGTGAATCAGATGGTTGGTTACTAGAAAATAGTTTTGTGGAAACTGCCAAATACAACATCAACATCATTAAGAATCTCGGCAAAGCCAACCAGATCTCCACTGTCTCAGGCATGAATGACCCCAACATAAACATTCAAAACACAGACTGTGACAAAATTAATATTGCAACAAAATCTATCCCTGCAGCTAGGTAGGCAAATCTTCCAAGAAATCACATCACAAGTGTAGCTTTGCTCTATTACAGTCACCAGATTTTATCTGGTAGGGGAAAAAAAGTAGAAAAACTAGTAAAACAATTGAACAAACCACAGACTGGTGACAACTCCAAAAATGCTGATACTTCTTTGGATGGATGTGTTTTTACTTGTAAAATCCCTGATTCTCAACGTTGCAAGAAATATATGGAATTTCCCCCACTTTCTCTCCTATATTTACAGACTTCCATAATGGTCTGAATGCATCAGAATAATCATTATGCACAAGCAAGTATTTCAGACAGGGCGGGTCTACATGTACTAACATAAAATTAGTTGAATAGGTAGCAAAGAAGTTTGTCATTACACCTATAAAAATCCCAAGAGCAGGGAAATCCCAAAAGAAATTATTAGACTACATAAAAACATTATTTATAAAAAAGATGACAAAAACTGAAATGAAGATTCTGCTGGTGCAAACTAGGAAAGGAGAAATTGTAACAAAAACATATGTATATTACAGCCTACAAGAATCTGCCATGTATGTAAAATTCATGTGAAGGCAATAAATGTTACCACAAAAGTATTTCACTTGTTTTTTCCAAAATGTCTGATGTACCATTTTCTTTTCCTCCCTCCAATAGTTTAGAGAAAGCTGGTTGCCCCACTTCCATGAAAGTCAAGGGTACAGCTGAAAGGAGCTCTCTGCTTAAAGAAAACTAACTGCCAGCTTGTGCAGGCACCAGCTTCCAACTAGCATGTGATAGCACAAGTTCAAAAACAAGTAGATACTTCCTATGAAACACTGATGATCCTAGATGCTTGAAAGCTCCCTGTTTCAAAAGTACTTTACCTCACTGATCCAGGGGTGAGAAGGTAAGAAGTTATTTGTAATCAGTAAAGGCAGACAGACTGACAGCTTGCACATCACGCCCCTGCCACAGTGCTCAGGAGCTTTGTCAATGCATGGAGTGAAAGCCTTCAATGCCCAAAACACCCATAGTTACAGGATGCCCTGTGACTGTAACTGATCATTAACAGTCAGCAGGAAAAAAGTACCAATAAAAAACAGAGGTGGAAAGACCAAATGAAACATTCTACTTGTTACTGCTGTGAGTGCATTTTTTGGATAATCAACTAAAAGAAGTTCCATTACTGAAATACTTTAAATAGAACCATTCCTGCTTTTGAAACTGTGCAAAATAACAGTAAAAATTACTTTACCTAAATACTGTTGTATCCCATGACATAAGAAAAAGCAAAAATTATACTATAAGGATATACTGTAAATAAATTGTGCAATGTAATAATCTGTAGTGTAATTCCAGCAGGTTACATGACTGTCATTTCAACTGGAAGTCCTTCACATCCTAACATGTTAGGCCTACATTTAAGTATGTTAAAACCCCTTCAAAGAACTAGATTTGTAAGCGGAGACTTTCTTTTACAAGAACTGTTAATTCTTCCCTTTGCACTGCACTTACCTGTATGCCTACTTCTTGTCCCCATTGCAATCACTTTGCCCAGTGAGGGATTAAAACTTAACTGGTGTGTAATTCCTTCAGCCATTTCTGAGAGCCAGTAATACTTACCAGTAGCTCTATAATTAGCTGATACAAGCTGGAAAATAATGAATGCAGAAAGTTGTAGCTCCTTGAGAGATTAAGGAGAAAGACACTAATGTATTGCAAACTAATCAGACATCACTTATGTTTTTCTTTAAAGGTAGTGTATTTTTTTTCAGGTGAGTATGCCAAGTGTCACCTGTGTCAGTCAATAGCAGTCACTTCCTCAACACAATTTTATTCTATTTTTTGTAAAACAGTCCTAGACCTCAATAACAAAAGCTTGCAGAATTTTAAGAACTGAGGTTAGTCTTTTGAGAGCTTTCTAGTTAGTTAATGGGTTTGTTAAGAATCTGCTCTGAAAAAACAGATTTGTAAGGAAGAGTGAGGTGATGATCCAGCCTCAGCATCTCTGTCAAGACAAAAAAATGCCAACCAGCAGCATCTGTAGCACAGTACACAAAGAGCATAGGTGTTAGTACACAGCTATCCAATTTTCTCTGGCCCCCACACAGCTCATTTACTTGCATATGAAGAAAATATTTTACCATAAAAGACCAATCAGCATTTAGCACATTAACTTTTGTCTCTCAGCCAGCTGCCCCAAACTGCAGCAATAGAATGTGACTGGGTTTGAAATTAGCTTACTTTCAGCATGTATCTCACAGGGGACAGTCCTTCTCTGACCTATTATCAGTAATTACTGAGTCATTAGACTGTTAATTTCTATCCTGTCTAGGCATTCAGAGTCTCCACTGATATGGATACATTACAAAATTATAATCACTCATTTCACAGTTATCAGGATAAAATTTACTTTTGTTAATAAATGCTTTCTTCTTTCCTTTGTATTTATTAATTTCCTCAGAACATGGAAGTACCACACCCTACATATCCAGCTTCCTTTACGGCACCAGTCACCTGATAGTTTGGATTTCCTGCAGTATTTAACACCAGACACACTGGATCAAGGAAACAAACTCAGGTAGCAGCACAGAGTCCATCTTTAATTCTCCGTAATTCATAAAGATGGAGATGGCATTAGTGAGCCAAGCCTTTAAGCCAGGGCATCTGCTCAGATACAGAAATAAATACGATTCAGGGGACACGTCTTATCCTATTTGTTACTAATGCCTAATCCAGACAAAATTTATAACAATACAGAAAATTCCAGAGTAAGGAACTCACCTATGCATAAAACTGTCTCCTTTATCAAGTTCTTAATTGAAAAAATAAAATAAACACTATAACATTGAGTTTCTGGTAAAGGCACTATGAGAGTTTCTTTAGAAATTTCACGTACAATGCTCTTCTTTTAAAGCTTGCTCATTGCCACTGAAAACAACTGCTATGTGTTGATCACAGAAAAAATAGTAAGAAATATAAACATGCAGCACATTTAGGATTTTGTTGAAATGAACATAGTTCAAGCAGGAACTGGTACCTTGGGATGAGCATCTCAATTCTTGTACCCAAAGAGACCGATATCAAATTTCAGGCAGTCTTCTGAAAAACGCTAACCACACATCTTCACAAATACAGCAAGGACTTCAAATGATCATGAAACCCACAGTCCCCACTTTGTGCTTCACAACATTTTGCTGCAGCACATTCACTCAAGCATAAAGCCTAGAAACCTAAAATTAAGTCTGGTGGACTGCAAGCTGTTTGACAAACTGTACTTATACAGCACAAACTATACTCCTTCTTGGACACTAATCTCATGAACAGCAATAAGAAAAGTCAAGTCCCATTGCAATTTCTCATGTGTAACTCTGCAACTGGTCTCTTACTCACTGTTACACAAAATTATGTACGTATCACCTCTTGGGATTTCAGCTTGCTCTCCTTCAATGCAAATTTCCTTTCCATAACTTCACTTTCATGAATGATTTTGACTGTACTAAATGCAACTGCATAGAAATGTAGCTAGGATTAGAAATAACTAGATTTGAGACACATGTAAGGAAGTGGATTTTCATTATTAGCCTTTTTTTCCTGTATCAACCTTCCAATTTAGCCTAATCTGCAAAATACTCATAAAACAGAGACTGCACAACAGAAATTAAATTACTTCTATTTTTGATAAAATATCTTTGAACACCTTGTCAAGTAATAGGTTAGAAGAATCTAAATAACAACTTAGATTTTGTATTCTGAATCTGAGTAGTTTATATTGCAGATTATTCAAGGTTGTTATCTAGAAAATAAGTGGATTTCAACCATAATGCAGAGCATATATTAGTGAAAATATTCCTCTATATAACTTTGTACATTGAGATTTTTATTACACAAGAAATAGTGCTATGGCTGCTTTTCTTTTTTCCCGTAATTAACAGGATTCTTGTTCTAATTTTCTTCAGAACATTTTTGTAAGTTGACTTCAATCTACATCTACCTTTTACCTTTTCAGAAATTCAGTTCTTAAAAACCATTTACTAAGCATAAAGAGCAACATCATTAACACACAAATGGTGCCCAAAGCTTCAATAAAGCAGTGAAGACATGATGACAACCAGCAGCCTGTAACATAAAGAGCAAGAAGTACTGGCCATATCTACGTAAAAGATGTCTTGACTGTTTGCTTAGGTCTATAATAAACCACCTTTTTTGAAGTATGTATCACACAGCAACATGAGACCCACACCATAAAGTTTCCCTTTCTAGAGGTTGAGTATCTGCCAAACAGTACAGCCAGCTCTTCAAGATACAAAACCAGATGCACTCAACTAGATCAGTTTCAGGGCATATAAATATTAAATTCTGTATTTTAGACTTCTTTTAGAAATTTATGTAAACACTGCAGGAATTTGCATCCGTAAAATACGAGGGTAAGTTTCAAGTGCAGTGTATCTTTACAGGATGACCAAGATACAGCCTACATGGAAAACTGATAGCTTATCAACCATTTACCAGCTCTTCTCCTTTCCCATACTGACAGACACCACTATAACACTCTTGCAAAATTAACTGTGAGGTGCTAAAGTGCCTTGAAATAAAAGCTTAATTATCTACGAGAAGTTACTTTATTTCCTTTTTTTAAATATACATATACAAGATATTTTATTTCAAAAGCACAAGAACATTATACAAGTTCCAAATTTACATTTTTGCAATTTAAGATACCAGTATGTGCATTATCAAATAACTTCTGTCAGCTTGTATGGAACAGAAATAAGTGGCATAAGCATCTTGCAGTCACTAAATACAGATTATACTCACAGTGAACAAAACTGCATAGTAATTTATGAAATGAAAGATGACCACGCTAGTCAGTGAATTACAGGGGAGTCCATTTGCTAAATTAGTATGTGCAAACGTACAGAAAGAGTCAACTTTCCTCTCCCACTTCTTTAGCTATGAAGAGATTTCCAGAGCTTTAATGGAGCTCACCTGCTCTTACCAGCTCCTGTCCTTGTATACTACAGTTCAGACAGAAAACAAAGTGATCCTCACTGCATATTGGATAATGGAAATTTTTTATCAGTGAAGTGCAAGATAACTGAAAGTTTTTGATAACTGAATATGTAAATATCAGAGGGAAACAGTAAGAGAATACAGGTTTGGTATCAAGGAGGCATTTGCCAGTCTTAATTCAATCTTTTTGTTTGTATGCAGTGTTTTGATGATATAAAAAACACCAGTGCATGCAAGTTTTCATGACAACTGTTCTAAACTCAGTATGTGTTTCAAACATGTTTTAGAGAAGATTAACAGAATTAATGTTTGTCTACTAAGAGTTTAATATTCAGGTTTAGAATCTGACAGAATCAAAATAAGGAGAATGGTCTTAATTTCAAGAAAGAGAATACCTGGAAAATATACCAAAGCCAACTTTCTATATCACTGGGGAGGGATTACAGCAAAAGTTTTTAAAAAGTATTTGAAACCAGAACAATGTTTAAGATCATTGGTATTCCATCTTTAGATTAGTTATGGTGCTGTTCAGTGCACTCATATATACTTAAAAACATTTTTAAAAACCCCAGAAGAATGGTACTTAAATCTAAATTATTAATTG